GTTTACTTGCAGTCATCTTTTTATGAACCAGGTAGAACATCTTTTTACATTCTGAAAGGCCATTCGCATCTTTGTGAATATTTTTAGAAGCTTTATATTAGGGCTATTAACCATTGTAATACAAGTTCCAAATATATTTTCTCAGCTTGTAATTTGTAGATTTTATTTCCCCTAATTGCATGTGTTTTGTTGTTTTGGTTTTTTTTTTCACATGTAGTCAATGTTACCAATCTTTTCCCTTGCTGTATCTGGACTTTGACTCAGTGAGGAAGGCTTTCCCTATTTCCCAGTTATCAAGGAATTCTCCTGTTTCCTTCTGGCTCTTACCTGGTTTCATTTTTCAAGTGATCCCGGCACCACTTGTTGACAGCCCTATCTTTCCCCACTGATTGCTGATACCGCCTTTATAGTGCACACAATTTTCATATGCAGTTGACCGACCTATTTCTAGATTTTTATTTGGTTGATCTGTATATTCATGGGTTAGTTCTCACCCTTCAAACTGTTCTTCATTCTTAGGGTTTCCATGGTTATTCTGGTTTGTTCTTCTAAATGACCCTTATAATAAGAATAGTGCCTAAAGACAAGACCAACGTCCATGAAATAACATTGAATGAAACAGAAGGTAACAGAAATACACACTATATACATATAGGTTTTTTTTTTCCTTTTAGAAAAATAATTGGAAGAAAAAACACTAAAATGTTGGTGGTGATGTCTCTGGATCGTATGGTTATGAGTTGTTATTGTTGTTACGTGCCGTCGAGTCAGACCCAACTCATACAACCCCTCCTTGGATTTCTGAGGCAGTATCACTATGGAAGTAGATTGCCCAACCTTCCTTCCAAGGAGTGGCTGGTGGGTTTGAACGGCCAGCCTTCTGGTTAGCAGTCAGGTGCCTTAGGCACTATGCTACCAGAGCACCTATGGTTATGGGTAGATAGCATTATTTTGTTATTGGTGCAAACTTTGATGCAAAAACCTTGCCACCACCAAAAGGCTGCCTCTTCCTTGTCTCCATCTCGTCCTTGTGCCATCGCTCTTGTGAGATCTTGTCACACTTCTGGGACATGAACAGAGGCAGATGGAGCCATTTCAGGCTCCTCTTTGCAGGGAGGGAGTGCATTACATCAGGGCTGGCCCGATGCCTATGGGGGCAGGAGGGTTCAAGTGCGTGCATCCGACCCTCCCTCTCTGGAAACCCCATAACCCTACACTCCATTACCAGCACACCCTCCAGGGTCAGAGTGCTTCCTCTTTCAGGAGACAGGGTTGTAAGAGGTATAAGGACCAGTCTTACCAAGCTCGTATTCTGGCCCAACACTGTCCAAAAGGACTTTCTATGGTGATAGAAATGTTGTGTGTCTGCTCTGTCCAGTATGGGAGCCACTAGCCAAATGTGACTGGCTGGTGTAACTGAGTAAAATTTGCATTTTATTTACTGAACTAGCTACGTTAGACTGAAACATACCAACAATCATGAAGATGGCATAGGACTGGGCAATTTCATTCTGTCATACATTAGGCCACCATGAGCTGGAGCCAACTAGATGGTAACTAACAAGCTACATATGGCCGGTGGCTACCTACCGAGTCAACAGTTCAGCTTTGGCCAATTCCCAGCCCAGCCAGGGCCTTCACTCCAGACATGCCTCTTCCAGCCTAGTCCTGAGATATCCCGTATGTGTGAGCTGGTGCCAGGGTGGCAGCTGCTGGGCACGGTGGGCTGAGGTGAAGAGGGTGGAGGGGGCTGCTGGTCTTGCTCGTACACTGTACACACCTGCCCTGCAGGAGGGGTCCAGCCTGAAGCAGCCCCCATCTCCACCCCAGAGGCTATCACAATGGCAGCCGGCCCAGCATCACAATACCACAGGCGGGAGGCTGAGCAACAGCTTGGCAGCCCAGTAGGGCATTTTCCTCCAGGGACACTTCTCTTTGTCTGCAGACCTACTTACAGCAACCTACACATCAAAGGACTGTTTCCTGGGGAATGGAAAAGCACCCAGCAGGCCTCAGGCTGGAGACCCCCAGGAGGAGGCAGGGCAGGTGGAGGGGGACTGGCTCTGCCCCAGGGTCCGGACGCTGCAAGCGACGGGGACCACTGGAGAACTCTATGAGCACTGCGCAGCTGCTCCTCCTCTTCCTGGCGACTGGGTACTTGTATTCTTCCTCCAGGACTACTGACCAGCCTCCCTTCCACTTGCCCAGGGGCTGGGGGGGGCAACGGGAGGGGGTGACTGGCATGGCTCAGAACTGGGGTTAAGGGCACAGGCCCAGGGCTGGAGGCCTGGCCCCACAGGGAGGACGGCTGGGACCGAGAAGAGGCCTCACTTGGAAACCATGGGGATGGAGTCAGAGGCTGAAGCAGCCGAGGGGACCCTCCGCTGCACTCCCCAGGCAGAGGTGGTGCCTGCGCTGCCTCCTGCTCTCAGAGGGACCCACTGCGGCAAGCCCAGGAGCTTTGAGCCTCCACCCAAGCAAAGGATGTGAAAAGCTGGAATAAGTAGGGCAGGGAGGCGGGGGCCCCCCCCAGGGTCCCGGATCACCAAGCCAAGGCTCTGAGATTCTGAGTCCACGCAGGGAGTCAGAGCGGCTCAGTGTGTCCACCAGGAAGCTGTGTGGCCTCTGGCCCTGCGCTCTGCTCAGACATAAACTGCCCAGTAAGTCAAGCAGGCAGCAAGAGACATTTTATTCCCGTTTCCCAGAAATAGCCCTGGAGTGGCTAGTACATTTCTGGTCGTGGTGGAGAAAAGACCACTTCCTTTTGGCAGTGTCTTTAAAATAACAAGAGGAGCCCTGGTGCCACAAAGCATTTGGTTGCTAAGCGGATAAAAAGATCTGTGGTTTGAACCTGCCAACTGCTCCGTGGGAGAAAGATTCCGAAAAGATTTACAGCCTTGGAAACCCTAGGGGCAGTTCTACTGTACTATAAGGTCGTTATGAGCTGGAATCAACTTGACAACAGCGGCTTCCGTTTTGGTTTTAAAATAAGAATGGAGGCATCTCCAGGGACGTGTCCCTCTACCTGAATACAGGGCAGGTACTGCCCAGCCGAGTGGCTCCCATGCTGGTTTCCCACCGAGTTGCAAACGCAGACCTCCAAGCGCCACCCATCTGAGGTCTGGGACAGTGATGGGCTACTCCTAGGCCTCCTGACGACCAGCCGTGGCCAGCGGGTGCCTCCAGCATTGCCCCGTCTTGGCACTGTGCTTTATTTTGACTTGATGCTGGTGGCTTCCAGGAGCACCCCCCACCCGCTCCCCACCATGGAAGACTAAGTAGGCATCCCCCTTCCCCGAAAGTGCTTCTGCTACGAACTCGGGAGTTTTCCCAAGAACATAAGCACACATGGAGGGTAAGGCGAAATCCCAGTGGCACACAGGAGTGCCACCAGCCAAGGCAAGGCAGCCCACTCGGCAGCTGTGGCCGTCATGGGCAGGGACCGCTGCTTATCACCCTTTTGGAAAAGGCTCACAGAAAGGGCTGCATCCAGTTGTCACCGGGAAGCAAAGGAAAGGGTGCTATGGTCTCTCTGATAATAAATCCCCTAGAAACTCTTAAAAAATGCAGATTCTCTAACTCCAGCCCCAAGTAATTGAAATCAGTGGTCTGGACTGGAGTAGAAGAATCCGAATTATAATAAAGCTCACTTTCCGTAAGGATTCTGTCTGCCCTGCATGCAGAGCAGGGCAGCCAGGGAGCACCCCGGCCTCCACCCGAGGTTCCCTGGGAGGCAGAGGCAGCAGGTCTGTGTGACGGCAGAGCACAGGCGGCTCCAGTGCCTGGGGGCTCCCTGGGACCAGGAATGTGCAGCCCACAGCCTGTCTACAACTGCCTGTCATCAACCACAGGGATAAGATACTACAAAGCATCTCCGGGCTGCTCCTTCCCAAATGTGCTCAGAAGGAAACAGCATGGTGGGTTTTCTCACTGACATTCTTCTAGTGACTACTATCTACTCAATACAGGAAACAAGAGTTGTAGAAATACTTATTTTCCCTCTGGGACTCTATGGGCTAAATTCTGAATGGAAAAAAAGAGCTGCCTATAAACAAGCGTTTCCTCAAGCGGCTCTCATGCCAGAAAAGTGCCTTCCTGCCACAATGAAGGTGCTGCTGGCCCCGTTGCCAGAGCTCCAGAGCCCAGGGTGGCCCTCCCGGGAGAGGGGCTTCTCACTCCCACCCACCCACAGATCCACCCTCAAACCGCAGAAGCCAGGCTCCCACGCATTAGCTAGATCTGAAAATGCATTTCTGTCCTTTTAGGCCCTTGTCAGGAATGCCAGCGGCTGGGCTGCTGTGACTGCATGCGGCTGCCCCGTGAGGAGCACCGTGTGGGAGCGGGCTGGGGACTGGAGGATGACAACACAGACAGGCACTCCACCAGGAAGACGTCAACAGCAGACATCAACAATCACTTTATTAAGGCTCAGAGTGGTCTCCCAGTGTGTGTGTGTGTGTGTGTGCGCTGGGGAGGGGAGGAGGCTGAGTCACTCACCCCACAAACCCCTGCAGGTTCACTTTGGGGTGACACTCTGAAAGCAGAGGCGCTCCTGTAGGTCCGAGCCACAGTGTATTGTTCTCCGTTCACAACTGTCCCAGGGGATGGGGTGGGGCGGGGTGCAGACAAGCCTGAAAGGGGTATGTGCAAACAGCTGAGGGGCCCTCTGCAGGGCGCTCCTGCCCAGGGTGGGGCTGGCTCCAGCAGGCCCTGAGGTCCGGCCAGGGGAGTGGCAGGGAGGCACGGGAAGGAGGGACAGCTCCCGCATCCCTCCTAGCACAACCTATGGCTTTGTTATCCTGGTACCACTTGAGCAGGAGGGTTAGACCCCTCCCCACCCTCATGTGCTACACTGTGTGAGGTGATAAAGGAAGAGACCCCTGGAAAGAAAAGGCAGCCCAGGGACCTGACTGCACCCCACTCTGTGCCTGGGACCTGGCCAGACCTTGGGAGCTGTGGTTCCTCCCAGCGACGGGTCTTCTCCCATTGAGGCTGGTCACTCAGAAGTGGACCCGCAGCACATCCTGGCTGGCGACTGGCTGCTGGCAGGCTATGCACATCATGGGCAGGGACCGCTGCTTCTCACCCAGGCAGGGGCGGCACAGGAGGTGGCCACAGGGAAGCTGGTACACGGGCTCCTTTTTGAAGTAGGGAGAGAACACTCTTTTGCAGGTGGCGCACTCAGGGCCCAGGCTGCTCCCAGGCTGCTCTGGTAAATCAGGGAGGAAAGCAGGCCAAGGTTAGGGAATGCTGCTCCCTGGGTCAGGCTGCTCTCCCCGAAGACCGGCAGGTGCTGCGAGTGGGAAGAGACGCTGCCCACCAGACACCCAGGGCTGGGGCAGCTCACGACAGGGAGGTCACCAAACCTGCCGGCTGAGCCTGGCTCCGGCCAGCTTCTCTTCAGCCCCACGTCACAGCTCTCCTCTGCTCCCTTCTTGCACTGCACAGCCCCCTGTGCAGGAGCTCACCTTTCATGCTTCCTGCAGGGCCTTCCTGGACAAGAGCCACAGTGGAAAGGCCTGCCACACCTGCTCCTCAAGCTGCATTGGCTCTTTCTTCTCTCATGGCCCTGGCCTGAGGAACCACCTCTTCTCCTTGAATCTACACCTCACAAGCAGATCAGACAGCCAGGTGCCGGGCTCCCCTGTCCTTGTAGTCCACCTCTCCATTCCTAGACTACCATCCCTGAGGACCGTAAAGGCATCCCAAACCAATTTGCTTCATAAATGCTTCTTACACTCATCTTCCCTTACTTTATGTCTTACAATGATCCAGGCCACCCTCTCACCTCTACCCTAACTGGGTGACTCTCCTACAGTCTTACCCTCTTAATCCATCTCAAAGCTGCCCTCGATGACCCCCACACACACCCAGACCTCCTCCATGCCTCTGCTTTCCACTTTTAGGGGCTCCCCGCCACCCCTGGGGCAGCCAGGACTGCCTGCTCAGCCTGTCCAGCCTCACCTCTCTCTACACACAGGCTTGTCTATCAGGGCACAGAAACTGCAAACTGCTTCTTTCTTGCACACACCCTGCCATTGTTGGCCTCTGACTGTGTGAGTGCTGTTCCTTTTGCCTGACCAGTTGCCATGGAATCAAGTCCAAGTCATGGCGACCCCATGTGTGTCAGAGTAGAACAGTGCGCCGTCAGGCTTTCAATGGCTGACGCTTCAGAAGTAAACTGCCAGGCCTTTCCTCCTAGGCCCTCTGCATGGAATTGAACCTCCAACCTTCTGGTGAGCAGCCGAGCATGTTGACCTGTGCCGCACAGGGACTCCTCCCTTTGCCTAGAATGCTCTTATCCTTTGAGACTTAGCTCAGACCACACCTCCTTCAGGAAGATACCCCTGAATGTCTTAGTCCTATACTTTAGAACCTGGGACAGCAACCTAAACATGAAGCAACCTAAAAGTACCAGGTGTCTCTCATGGAACGCACGCCCAAGAATTTTACAGTAAGTGGAAAGATTACTTTCCATCCCATATAGGTAAACGTCTCCCACGCACTGGCCAGATGTTTAAAAAAAAAGGTGAGGAAAAGAGACACCGACTGTCATTTACTGAATGTCTCTTGAGCATGCCAGGTTCTGTGCCAGAGGCTTCTGAGATGTCTGACCCAGTAGGGGCATTGTGAACATTCATTCTCCATTTGAGTCTTAAAAGCTGCACCTGGCTTCCCACCACTGAAGTATGTAAGGGCCCGATTCTTTCCAGCACTGGCCAGCAGGCCCATTAAAGGGTAGATGCCCAGAGCCCCAAGGGAAGTTCCAATGAGAAAGGAAGACAGCTGCATCCAGGAAGAAACTACAGTGCTATGGGTGGATCAGAAACCCCAACCCAACAAAATAATCTCTTTCCAGGTGCCCAGGCAGCCACCTACCAGACATCTAACGATGAATTCAATGTGCCAAGAAGGCAGCACTTCCTATACTAGGAAAGACCAGACAGAATTTTTTTTCTAGTGGGGTCTGGGGAGAGGAAGAACTACTAAGCTCTGTCGCTGGCTACTGACTAACGAGGGACATTTTCATACAGAACTCTCCTCCCCCAGCTGCGCTTTCCTAAATCCTGAGTAAGGACTGAACTGGCCTCAAGTTTTCTTTGTCTTTGGGAAAAGAAATGTTTCCACTGGTAACTTAATAGAATGAACTTAAATGGCAAGGAAAATGCAATGAAATATTTTAGTGGTACCTAATTATACATGGGGTTGCTGTGACTTGAAATTGACTCGACAGCAATATATATATATTATATATATATGTTGTTGTTGTTGTTGTTGTTATTTGCCATCAAGTCGGCCCCGACTCATAGTGACGCCTCCTTGGGTTTCCGAGGCAGTATCACTACGGAAGTAGGATTGCCCAACCTTCCTTCCGAGGAGTGGCTGGTGGGTTTGAACCGCCAGCCTTCTGGTTAGTAGTCAAGTGCCTTAGGCACTATGCTACCAGAGCTCCCATTATATATATATATATAGGTGTATGAAACCCTAATATGGGGATTGGTTAGTTTTGCCATCCCACTAGGCTTAAAATGAGCCATTCCAGAGGCGGGAAGGGAGGAATCTCACTACCATCAAGAAAGAAGAGCCAGGAATGGAGTGCACCTTTTGGACTTAAGATCCCTGCACTGAACCTCCTCCACCCAGGAGTCAGAGAGCTGTAACACTTTGCTGAGATGGCAAGAAGCAGTGGCAGAGAGACAGCAACAGCGGACCTGGGAGACTCCCACAGGAGATAGCACAGGGGGCTTCTGGACCTACAGAAAGCTGAGTGCCGCCGGGCAGGAGGCTTGCTGACTGAGCTGAGCGCCTCCGGGCACTTGGTGGAGCTAATTTTGCCCACCACTGAGCTAGAACTCAGGGGCTGTGGGCCCAGACTTACTGGGGAATGGGTGCCTCTAGGCACTTAGAAGCAGAGCTGAAAAAAGCTTTGTAACATTGCAGGGGCCAAGGGACTGTGGAGTTGAGGAGAGGCTGAGAGCCAGAAAGAGGTTGGCACTGCTGAGAAGAAGCTGTCCTGATAGAGGAACTGTATCCTGAGCACTCTTGATCCTGAATTGTAACCTGTTACTTCCCTAATAAACCCTATAATCCTAAGTACTATCTGTAAGTTCTGTGTGTCTACTGCAATAAGTTACCAAGCCCAAAAGAGAAGTAGTGCCATGGAAGGGACAGCTGACGTCAGAATTGGTAAGAAGGTTGGTGGGTGGAGGCATGTCTGACCTCCACCTCATAGGAATCAGCCATGGACTGTTTATCTTGATTTTCCTCCCCCCTTGTGAAGTCAGTGGAGGTCATTTTTACACACACTCCATCCGTCCATCCCACTGAATACAACTATAAACTCTAGACAGACAGAATGCTACCTGAGGATGCCGAAAAGTAAACGGAAGCAGACTGGGGAAGGAGACCAAAAGGATCACCAAACCAGCAGTGAGTTTCCTCTCTCTCCTCTCACCCCCAGGATCACCTGGCCTGGGCTCAAAAGTAGCCCAAAGCCCAGAAGTGTGTACGGAGTAAGGCCAGGAATAGCTCCCCGACAGCTTTTTCTGTCTGAGGAACAAGAAAGTGGGCTCTTATTAAGGGTCAGAGAGAGTGGGGGAAATCTCCTGCTGTTGTTTTTTCCTCTCTCTCTCTCTCTCTCTCAAGCCACTAGGCCCAGGTCACAGGTACAGTCACAAGAACTGCACACCAAGCAGGCAAACGAGAGCACCAGCTCTCTGGCTGGAGGACGGGGAAGGTGAGCAGGAGACCGAAGAGATCAGGAGCTCGAGAGAGAGCTCCCTTGAGTGGGCTCCCCTCTGAGCAGTGCATGCATGGATCTGACCCTAAGCAGCTTAGTGTCAGAACACTTAGTCCGAGAAATCCACAAGACGTCTGTCTACGTGGAGGTGCCAAGCAGCTGTCGGGGAGGACGGGGCTCTGAGTTCCAAGGAGAGGCAGGAGCTATAGAAGAACATAGGGCAGTTACTGGCAAGTGTGCTCCTACTCGGGTGAGAAAGAATACTGAGAGAAGAGGGTCTGGGGGCAGAGTCTTGTAGAGGACGAAGAGTTAGCAATGGACACTGAAGAGGCACAACAGCCCAGAGGCCAAGAGGGAAAGAACCATCAGATCTGGGGTCATGGAAACTGCTAGTCACTTTGACAAGACATGCTCTTGGGAACAGTCAGAATTGAAACCTAATCAGAGTGGGCAGGAGAAAGATGAGGAGGCGGGGAATGGGGGACAGAGAAGAAAGAAGAACTGGAAGTCAGACAAGGAAAAGAAACTGGCTTTGGGGAGGCAGGAAGACTCAAGTGTACACCTTATCACTAGCCCCCAAGGCTTCATTTTGAAAAAATAAAAAAGAAAAAAATCCCAGTGAGTGCTTCTTGCTTTCAATCTAATAGATTCTAACATACAAAATGTTTCTAGGTTCATTTCAGACAAAAAGTGGTTTAGTAAGCTACTTCAGGAATTGTCTTTCCTAAGACACTGATGAAAATGTTCAATAGGAAGAGATGAAGATGACATATTCAACCCAAAACCTCCCTCCACATTTGTATCAAGTCTTCCAGATGTCAGATGGGATACAGATTTCAATTAGAAAACAGAAACCAACAAAAGGCCTCAGGACAGAATAATTAACATTAGATCTTACAAACAAAAACCATGTAAAGGGTAGCCAAGCCTTAAATCCACAGCATTACCAACAGCTGTCTAAAGAAAGTCTTTCTCCTGCAGAGTTAAACTTTGCAGGCCGTCCTCCACAACTGCTGGCAAAAGAAAGAGAAGATGGTTTCCCCCACCCCCATCCCCATGTGGGTGTTCGAGCTAAGCAGGAGACTGGGCATGCAGACCCACAGACTGCCCAGAGACATGGCCCCACGCACTGTGCAGAGAGCAGACCACTGTTTAAAGGCTTCCAGGATGTGGATGGGGCCCATGTTACCGAAGCTGGCACCTGGCTTCCAGGAAGAGTTGCTCCCTCTTGTGCCAAGGTGCTGGAGCTGTCCCCTGGTCAGCCGAGCCGTGAAAGAGGGCATGGAGCCAAGGGTCGACATCAAGGCAATTTCCAAGCTTTGTGACAGCTTCTGCTCATGGGACATTGGACCTGTCGAGAGACGCACAGACCATAACATCCAGAGAGAGGTTCAACAAAAGAGAACAAGCTCAAAAACCAATGGATTAGAAGACTACACAAACAGCACTTCCAGCTTCAAATAGATACAACTGTAAAGCAACTCTTTCCCAATGTCTACTGGTGGGCTGTGACGACAAAACATCGAGAGTTAAACTCTGGGAATCCGGCAGTTCCTACCCATCCCACACTCTGGAGAGAGTTCCTGGGCTCTACTCTAGCTTTTCTCCCAGGCAACTGCTGGGAAGGCATGGGCCACCTTGTGGCTCAAATGCAGAACTGCACCCTGCTTTCTCTTTGCAGGCCAAGGAAATGAGTGGGAACAAGAAAATGCCCATCTTTATACTCCTAATTCCTGTTTACCCACCCCCCCCTTCCAGTTTTGGTCTTCTCTTTTTCCACCTCTTCCTTTCAGGGGCCCCAACACCCAGCGAAGTAGCTTGCCTGTGCTTTCTAGGTGTTTGTACCCTCTCTCTCCTGTCAAGCAAAGCAGCTATTACCAAGATTGGCATTACCAAGACTTCACTCTGCCCACTTCCAATCTAGGGGACTTTCTGTGTGTGACCCACAGGAAGGAAGCCAAGCTATGAGGTGAGAGTGAAGGCAATGGAGGAGGGGACAGCTACTCAAGAAAGGATGCAGGACTTGCCTGGTAGCAGAGTTTACAAGACACTACACTGGGAAGTGGAAAGTGTCTACAGTTTGAAGGGTCAGGACATTATTAGCTGGGGGCCTTGTAGCACTGGTCAGTATGGACCTGTGTCACCAATGAGTCTTTCAATCTCAAGGCCACTGAAGAGGGGTCTAAGGACCTTTTTCTACCTCTTGCCCCACTGTACCTCCAAAGATTCCAGGAGTTCCTGGGGTCATGTTAACAAAAATTTACTCTCAAAATCAGAGAAGACACAGATTTGACCAACAGGTGCACTATTTGGATAGGGCTTTTAGAGTAAGAGTGGAAACGGGGAAAAAAAAACCTTAAAATCTTGTTGTTGTTGTTGTTGTTATGTGCCCTTGAGGCAGACCCGACTCATAGCGACCCCTCCTTGGGTTTCCGAGGCAGTATCACTATGGGAGTAGATTGCCCCATCTTCCTTCCGAGGAGTGGCTGGTGGGCTTGAACCATCAGCCTTCTGGTTAGCAGTCAAGTGCCTTAGGCACTACGCTACCAGAGCTCCCCCATAAAATCTAAACAGACTAATTTTCACAGAGACAAAGTTTTCAACTACAGAAAATTTCAGAAAGTTAACTTTCAGAAAGCACCAACCACTGACAATCCCAGGGTGAGCCTAGTACTATTTAAATGGTTCCACAGTATATAGAAAAGGAAAATTTCCAAATTCTTTTTATGAAGCAAATACACTATTGATATCAAAACTTGACCAAATAGGTGAGTAGTGACTGAGTTCTTAAAAGCTTGCAAGTGCCTGTCTAGAGTCAACAACTGGTCTCTCCTCATCTGGAGCAAAGAAGAATGAAGAAAACCAAAGACATATAGAACAGTTAGTCCAAGGGATTACTGGACCATGTGAACCTGAGCCTAAATGACCAAGAGATCAGAAGAACTAGATGGTGCCTGGCTACCACTGTCAACCACTTGGAAAGGGATCAGTAAGGAGATCCTGAATAGAATGGGAGAAAGATATGGGGCAAAACTCAAAATCAAAAAAAAAAAGACCAGGCTTATAGGTCTGATAGAGACTGGTGAAACCCACAAGACTATGGGCCCAAGACACCCTTCAGGCTTGGAACTGAACTCACTCCCACAACTGTAAGCCAAACAACAAACAAGCATATAAGGTAAACATCTACACTAGGTAGGTACACTCAGAACAATAAACCATGGGAGATCAGAAGGGCACTGTATGCACAGGGAGATAGCGTCGAGGGCAGGAACTCAGGAAAGAAGAGCAGAGGGAAACGGTAACTACAAGGAGGAAGTGGGAAGAAAGCTGTTACATTATGGGGATTAAAATCAATGTCATGAAACAATATGTGTATGAACTGCTGTATGGAAAATGAATTTGCTCTGTAAACTTTCACCCAACACACAATGGAAAAAAAAAAACTTGACCAACAATGACATGAGACAAACTATATGTGAACTGCTGTATGGAAAGTGAATTTGCTCTGTAAATCCCCACCCAAATCACAATTAAAAAAAAAAAAAAAAAAACTTGACCAAATATATATACAAAACTATAGTTCAATCTCTCTAATGAATGCAAAAATCCTAAATGAAACACTAGCAACCACATTAAAAGAATCATTTAAAAGAATCATGACCAAATGGAGTTTATTCCAGGAATGTAAGAATGGTTCAATATTAGGAGACCTATTAATTAAGAAAAAAACAAAAGCATACTAACACATTAAAAGATCTAAGGATGAAATATCTTAGCATCATCTCCACTGCTATTTAAAAGGCACTTGACAAAATTCAACATCCAATATTAGATAAAAACGCTCAATTAAGGAATCAATAGTATGGGAGGCAGTCTCTGGGTATTCCTTCCCCTTGAGTGTGGGCTGGACTTAGTGATTTGCTTATAACAAATAATACCGTAAACGTGATAGGATGTCACTTCTAAGATTAGGTTATTAAAGAGTGTATGACTTGTTTGCATACTCTCTGGCTCTTCCTGCTTGCTCTTCTGATGAAGCAAGCTACCATATCGTGAGTTGTCCATGGAAAGGCCTATGTGGCAGAGAACTGAAGGTAGCCTCCAATCCACAAGGAACTGAACAGTGAAAAAACCACATGAACGAGACTGGAACTGAACACTTCCTCAGTCAGGCCCTGAGATGACTGCAGTCCACACACTTCAATCACAGCCTACAAAAGATCCTAAAGTCAAGGACCCAGACATGTTACACCTGGATTTCCAACCATAGAAACTATAAGATAATGAATGTTTGTAGCTTTAAGCCTAAAAATTTTGGGGTAATTTGCTACACACCAATAGATGACTAACATACATAGGTATTTCATTAATTTCCTTAAAACAGGTCTCAGCCCAAAAGCCAAAGTTAGGACTTATATTGTGGCATTCACACTGAAATCAGGCCAAGACAAGGATGCCCATGATCAGCTGTATTATTTAATGCTGTGCCAGAGGTCCTAGGCAAAACATTTATTCAGACAAGAGAAAAGAATGAAGTGTTTAAAAACATTGAAAAAGAATTTAAAATTACGACTGTTTATATTACGTGACCGTACAGGAGGCACCTAGAAAATGACCATGGACAATAAAATAATTCAGTAAGGTCTCGGGATACAAAACTAACATACAAATATGAACAGCATTATATATTTAAACAAAAATCAGTTAGAAGGTATAAAGGGAAAAAATGCTCCATTTATAATAGCATCAAAAAGGAAAAAATAAAATTCAAGATTAAACTTAAGAAAACTGGAAATCCATATAAAGAAACCTTAAAACTATGCAAGGACAACACAAAAGAAGACCTTGGTGGAAAGATATACCACAGGAAGATTCAACATCCTAAAGTCATCAATTCTAAGTTCCTTTATCAATTTAAGGAGATCCCAACTTTCTTAAAATATGTTTTTGGGGAGGGGAGGATTAAATGAGGTGATTCTAAAATTCATATAAAAAATAATAATCAAAGAAACTTTGAAAATAACAAACAATGGGGAGAACTTGCTCTAACAGCTATCAAAACATACCAGAAAGCAACAACAATTAACATAAGACGTTACATTGTTTGTTGCTATGTGCCGTTGAGCTGGACCTGACTCATAGTGCCCCTCCTTGGGTTTCTGAGGCAGTATCACTATGGAAGTAGATTGCCCAACCTTTCCAAGGAGTGGCTGATGGATTTGAACTGCCAGCCTCCTGGTTAGCAGTCAAGTGCCTTAGGCACTATGCTACCAGAGTTCCCAAGATGTTATAGATACATGAATAAAGAGACCAATAAAACAACAGAAAGTCAGAAATATCCAAATACTTTCAGGAATTTAGTGTATGTTAGTGGCATTTCAAATCACTGGGAGAAAGATGGAATAGTCAATAAATGGGTAAATGGTTAGTCATCTGAAAAAACATTAAGTTGGATCCATACTTTATAATACTCCAAATGGATCATAGATTTAAAAGAATAATAATCAAATCATAAAAATATTAAACACATAGGAGAACTCCTTGGATGGAAAAGGAAGGGGGGGCAATGAAAATCTAGACTACACTAAAAAAAGTCTGAATGGCCAAAAACGTAGTAAGTCCTGTGCAGTCACTCCCTCTCACCTTTACCACTCCCCCCATTCCCCAAAAAACAGCCTGGGAAAATATATTTCAGCTCATTAACAAAGTCAAAGGGCTAATCTATAAAAACCTTTTAGAAATTACTAAAATAAAGACCAATAACTAATAGAAAATAAGCAAGAGATGGACAGACAGTTCACAGAAAAGGAACACAAATGTTTAATTATAAAAGATGTTCAATCTTACTAATAAAAGAAAATGAAAACAATGTAAGACATCATTTTTTAATCTATCAAATGATAGTTTGAAAACACATTCTGTCAGTATGGCTGTAAGGAATCTCATAAACATTGCTGGTAGGCTATTCCATTGTGTATTCCAGCAACATTCATCCCATTTACAGGAGAATATATCCTTTGGCCTAGAAATTCCATTTCTCTGATCTTGTCCTACAGATATACTTGCACATGTATGAAACGATGTATGTTTAAGGTAATAACCTGCAGTTATTTATAATAGCAAAATATTAAAAACAGCCTAAATGTCAATCAAAAAGAGGACAGGGTTACGGATAGGTGTTTCACTCTGTGTGTGTACAATTTTCTAACTATATGGATATAATATTGCCTACTCACAAAAAGCAGAGCTACAGTTGTTGTAGCTCTGCTTTTTTTGAGTTGGCAATATTATATCCATATAGTTAGAAAATTGCTACAGTTGTTGTCTCTGGTAGCATAGTGCCTAAGGCACTTGACTGCTCACCAGAAGGCTGGTGGTTCAAACCCACCAGCACTCCTCGGAAGAAGGTTGGGCAATCCTACTTCTGTAGTGATACTGCCTCGGAAACCCAAGGAGGGGTTGCTATGAGTCGGGGCCGACTCGACGGCAAACAACAACAACAACAACAACATGTGCTGTGGAGTTGGACCCAACTCATAGCGACCCCTCCTTGGGTTTCCGAGGCAGTATCACTACGGAAGTCGGATTGCCTAACCTTCCTTCTGAGGAGTGGCTGGTGGGTGTGAACCACCAGCCTTTTGGTTAGCAGTCAAGTGCCTTAGGCACTACGCTATCAGAGCTCCTGAGCTAAAGTTAGATACACTTAAAATACTACAGTGATACGCTAGTCTGAAGATTTTTTTATGAAATTTTAAAATTCATACCCAATCTTAGATTCTGAAAGTTACTAATCTTTATTTTGCTTCAATTTTACAGTAAAAGGATTTTATTGATTTTGCTCTTTTCTCTATAAATTTTCAAACAAACAGCCTTTGCCCAAAATCAGTTAATTCTGACCTGAAGATAAATTGTCATGAACGAGGCACCAGGATCTTCCACTCATGCTTTTCTGAGCTGAAAAGACATTTTTTATTTATACTTCTTCATTTCTCTCTTCTCTTCTTGTCTTTTACTAAAATTAAATGCATTATTTGTTAATCTGTTTGGAACACATGAAAACCATAATGGTCCTTCATGGAGGATCTCTGAGAATGAACATGAATATAAACAAAAAGCAAACCAAACTGTCATTGAGTTGATTTGACTCATAGCAAACCCCACTGAGTTTCCAAGGGGGCAAATTTTTATGGAAGTAGATTGCCCAGTCTTGCTTCCACAGAGTGGCTGGTGCGTTTGAACCACTAACCTTCTGGTTAGCAGTCAGATGACTTAGGCACTGTGCTACCAGAGCTCCTTGAACATGAATACAGGGTTTAGCAAAACAAAGGTCCCCAAATCGGAGATCAACGAAGCAGGGGACATGTGGAAGATGGGTAGGGGCTGGGGGAGGAAACAACTGTGGTAGGAAAGCCAAGCTCAAGCAAAGCAACCACGGTTGACTGAACCCACTCAACTGCAGAGGTCCCCACGTGAACCAAGGGTGCACTTCTCAGGAGATGGCAGGCATCACTGGTCCCAGGAACCACTGGCAATGCCCCAGGCAAGATGCAAGAAGCCAAGACGCTTAAATCTCATGCTGACCAGGGCTTTGAACCGGTTTGGCCTCCTGCTGTGAATTTGCATTTCTGCCCCAGATACATTGAATCAGAATCTACATTGAAAACCTGGAGATCTTGTTAAAAACAGACTCTGATTCAGTGTACCCGAGGAGGAAAGGCAAATTCTCAGCAGGGGGTTGAACTAGAATGAACCTATTCTAAGCCCCGGTTTCAACCCATCCACATTCTTACACTACCTTCTTCAATGTGGCTGGTCTGTTCAATAAGACTGCTTCCTGAAAGGAGGGTCCACAATCTAGTACTTTTCTGTGTGTCAATGTCACCTCGTGGGGTGAGGCAGTGAATACCTCAAAGCAGTTACATCAAAGCACCTCTATAAACATTAGAAACAATATCCTAGAGAAGCCCAGTGATACACGAGTAACCATAAAGAGGATACCAGAAGGAAGACAAGGTGTGCTCTAAGGAACTGGTGTCTCTCCTTCCAGCAGCTGTGACCAGAGACTTTGAGCCCAGGGCAAAGTGTTGATTGGACAGGGGACAAAAAGGGAGCTGGAAGAAGGTAGACACCATTGGGCGGATGGGTGGAGGCGACTAACATTGGATGGAGAAGCAAAACGCACAGACTGAAGTCCTGGAACAGACGAGAACCCACACCAGCCCCTCAGAGGCCTCTGAACTGTTTCGAGACTGAAGACAAAGCGGGAGGCCCCACAATGAGAAACAAGAAGGAGCATAGGCATCGGCCTGAGGAATTTACACTGGCAAAGCACAGAGCGAAGGAAACAGTGCCAAGTGTTACCTGGGAAGAGCTGAGATGACAAAGAGCTATGGAAATTACCTGTTGAGCAATCCATGTGTGTCAGGCCGAACTCACTGGCAGCTTTCATTTTCTTAGCGGTATGCTCTGAGGTAGTGGGTGAGACCAGAGGGCTTGTGGTCAAAAAAGAGGAAGCATTTATACCAAGGCTACTGTCTGGGGCCTGTTCGGCCTGCTCCATCTTCCTTTTCCGAGAATGCATAACAATGGAAGAAGGAGTCACCGCCACTGCAGTCTGTGCTCTCCCAAGCAGGTGGCAGTCAGGGATGGAGTGCTGGAGCAGGAAATGGTCAATCCGGGCCTTCAGAGAGGGGTGAGGCAGGGGCTGGGAGTGTGGAGTAAAGGCTACTCCTGTAAAAGGATCACTGGGTACACGGCCCCATGCAGCTTCACTGCGGTTACACTTCTCCAGCGTGCTCTGGTCGATGACCTTGCCTGAAGGTAGCAGCATGGGGCAAGGCATGATTTCCAGGGTGATAGGATCCAAGAACTCCTCAGGTACATCCCGAATTACCTCAGCCAGCTTCTGCAAGCTGGAGGGGGCCTGGTGGCCCTCAGACTGGTCTCCAGGTTCACAGTCACTCTCCATGGGTAAGGCCAGGGTCTGCAGAGCCAAGTCCTGAGGGAGGCTCTCTGAGGCAACCAGCAAGACACTGTCTATCACCTCCTGGGAGCAGGTTTTGGCTGGCTGACCCCACACTTCCAACCGTTTGATGCAAGGGATACCGCTGCCTGTCACGTGGGTGATACAGATCTTGAGATGGGCCACATGGCTGAGGGAGAGAGCCCCTTTATTCCAAAGTTCCTGGGCTGCAACAGCAGGAGAGGGGAGTATGGCTCCCAGCGGGCCAAAAGGTGGCCTGGCCTTAAAGCCTCTGTGGCTGAATACCACCTGGCTCTGGTTTTTCAATAAGACTTTGCCCACCAAGGTGAACGCCTCTTTGTCTGGGATGGATGGCTCAGCGGAGCCTGGAGTCTGGCACTCAGGGGTACTCCAAGATGCTCTGCTGGGTAAGGCAGACGTGTACATCTCCAGGCCAGTGACACTGTGGCCTCCCCCAGCTGTGAGATCTATGTTAATCCTATAGATTTCTACATTAAAGGGAAAAGAAATTGTCACATAGACTGGTGGCTTAATGAAATACTCTGTCCTAAAACCACGACTTCTCTTTGTAAGGTCTTCAGAGATGAGGTTTTCGACTTCGTAACCATCAGCTGATATCTAGATTTAATGACAAACATGAGACACATTGATTTAATGAAGCCCGAATGATCAGCTAGCTTTTCAAGAACTTGCCATTTCTAAGAAAATTCTTTAAAGAAAGTTTGAAGATCATCATTTAAATTTTCTTCTATTAAACTAATCCTCCTTTTTTTTTTTTTTTGCAGATACTCAAGATCAGGTCAAAGGCTAAGGTATGTCCCCAAGTACTGGCCATATTAAAATATAGGAAAAATGAAATCCTGCCCAATTAAAGAAAAAATTCCTTCACCTTAATATTAATTCAACCATCAATTTAATGTCATTCCTTCAAAATAACATCTCTGTGAAGAGGAAATAAAAATATTAATGGTTTTTCACTTCAAAGGATCAAAGTTGTGTATTTGGACCTCCCAGTTGTAACCTTTCTTAGGACGGCATTGAAAACAAGCTTCTTCTAAGTCTCTGAATAATGAAACTTGATAAAATGTGTGCAGTGACAAAGGCCATAAACACTAGAGAAAATTCAAAATGGTGGATGTGCAAGGGGGTGAGACTGTGAGTGATTTCCTCCCCTTTTAATACTCTAACACAGGTATCCCTGCTTTTCAAAAGTTCTCTTTACACTGCTTCGCTTCAACAAAAAGACCTACATTAGCACCTGTTTTCGCTTATTGAAAGAAATCTAATGAGATTTTCATGAAAAAAGTGGACTGCCAAACTAGTGTACAGTGTTTTCCAGTGACTCACTAAAGAGGCAAAGCACTCAGAGCAGCGTCACCAAGCTTCTTCCCCAGGAACTACACTGAGCACGTCAACATTAAGCCGCCATTGCTTTGAACTATGCCTGTGAACACTGTATGTTAGTGTTATTTTAGGACGGATGTGTTGTTTGGTATTATTTGGTAGGTTATTTTTTGGTTTTAGGGACTGTGAAAATTTTTCCCATATAAATTAGTAGTGATTGTGTCTTTGGTTTATGCCATTTTGGCTTATGAAAGGGTTCATAGGAAGGCTCCACTTTTGGATAGCAGGGGAAACCTGTAATTATTATAACCAATGGAAACATTAAAATATCTTGTCCAAAGGAGTCAGTCTAACCATCTGAGAACCTGAAACAGTATGTCATGGACAGATCTCCAAATCAGGGAGAGATTCACTTCTTCCTCTGGTGTTTCCCTATTCTCTGCTCTGGGCTACAGGGAGATATCCTCTGCACAGACAGAGACGTAGCTTAATTCAAATAATAAAAAACAAGGAACCCAAATAACAAATACAAGCCATTATTTCTAGCATTAGAAATTAACAAGAACAACTGAGGAGAGAGAGAATATTTCTACCTTTGTTATGACTTTGGGTAGAATTACACTTTATCATCAAAAAGGGAGGAGAACAACGAAGAACACTGTCCATGAGATGAGTCACGGCTCCCTGTGGAAGTGCTGTATGGGTCTAGAGATACACCCTGACAACCCTGACACACACTGAAATATACATTAAGCCTGAACTGAGTTCACATACACAAGGTAGGAAATAGGAAAGATAGGAAAAATACACACTGTTACTTATTGGGTATTTATTTGTTTAGTTTACCTTGTTGCAGTGAATTCTTGGTCGGAACTGTGGAAGGCAAAGATTTATTACCATCTTTGTGGCACAAAGAATAGCTTCCAAGCATCAGAAACAGCCTTAAATAAAAAATAAAACTTGGTATTAGACAAATTCAATTCTCAACTTTCAGGACTTGATTTCTAAGAGAAGAAAATCACATAGAATAACAAAAATTTTCTCTCTCTCTCTCTCTCTCTCACACACACACACACACACACTCATTCTCCTGGTCTATGCTCACTCTCTGTATCCTACATGTGCTTTTGGGTGAAATGAGTCGCTTTAAAATCATGAAGCTACATATTGTATGGTCTCATGTATATGGAATATTGAAAACTGGCAAATGCACAGAGACAGAAAGTTGATTAGTGTTTCAGGGCTAAGGGTGAGGGAGTTATGGAGTTACTGTTTAACAGGTTTAGAGTTTCTATTTAGTTGATGAAAAAGTTTTGAAAATAAGGAGACTGATAAATATTTTACAACAAATTTTTTTTTTAAATTATGAAGACGATTCCTCCATCAGGCAATGCCGGTTGGCACAGACTATGGCAGTCTCCCAGTTTCTGGCTGACAGCTATTTTAAAGACAGTGTCTGTCACTCTGCAGGGGGCTCACCATAGTGGCTCAGCCCAGAGAAAGAAGAGGACTGTTTAGCCAGAGGGTTTAGAATGGAAAAGGTCACAGAAAATAAAACATAGCAGTGCTGGGCATCTTTGTCATTTCACACTTCTCAATGCAATTTTGTTTCCTCATTTAAAACAAAAACAATTAGAAGAGTCAAATACATCATTACTGAGAAACAAAAAATCTTACAGTTGGAAGGACCTTCAAAGAACATCTAATTCAAATAGTCTAATGACTAATGTGTAATAATAGCCTTGGTATTCTTCTGTAGAGAAGTGGGGAAGCCACTAGAAACATCCTATCCAGTGGTGGCCCTCTCCAATGGAGATGAATTCCTTGGATGAGGCCAGCCAACCAATTAACTCTTCTGCCAAACTGACCTATGCTTTTCCATCTGTCAGGCATAGCTCTTATTAGTCCAACAGGAATAGGACCACTTTCTGGGGTCTTTGTGTTGTCATGATTGGTATATGACACAGAGGCCAGGTATGTTGGTAATTCTGTAACATCTGTGTGGGCAGTTCTGCACAGGGAAGATCTGTCGCATGTGACTTTTAAATGTTTATTGGTTTCAATCTAGCCCCTAACTCAATTTTACAGATAAATGTACTTTTGAACATGGTTTTAATTAATATGTGCTGAATTTTCTAGGCAAATCTGCTTGCAAAAGACTTCTTTAGTGTTCAAAAGCAAAGATGTCATCTTGAAGACTAAAGTGAGCCTGACCCAAGCCATAGCATTTTCAATTACCTCCTATGCATGCAAAAGCTAGACAATGAACAAGGAAGACCAAAGAAGAACTGATTCATTTGAATTATGGTATCGGCAAAAAAAAATACTGAATATACCACGGACTGCCAGAAAATGAGCTCTGTCTTCGAAGGAGTACATGCAGAATGGTCCTTGGAAGCAAGATTTCATCTCATGCACTTTGGACATGGTATCAGAAGCAATCAGTCCCTAGAAAAGGACATCATGCTCGGTAAAGTAGAGGGTCAGCGAGAAAGAGGAAAACTCTCAATGAGATGGATTGACACAGTGGCTGAAACAATGAGATCAAGCACGGCAACAATTGTGAGAACTGGGCACTGTTTTGTTTTGTCATACATAAAGGTCACGATGAGTTGATGGCATCTAACAAAAAAATCTAGGAAGGTAACTTCCATGTAAGTCAAAGGAACACTACTTTGTGCCCCCCCCCCTTTTTTTTTTCTTCAGACTTTACAAAGAAGAGGTCACCACTTCTGAAAACCCTATCACTGAGGGCAACGCTACACACACATTAAAAAAAAAAAAAAAAAGCACTGCTGTTGAGTCAGATCTGACTCATAGCGACCCCTCCTTGGGTTTCTGAGGTGATATCCCTATGGAAGTAGATTGCCCAACCTTCTTTCCGAGGAGCGGCTGGTGGGTTTGAACCGCCAGCCTTCTGGTTAGCAGGCAAGTGCCTTAGGCACTATGCCACCAGAGCTCCTTATACACATATATCAGTCTGCATTCTAGGTGATTCTACAGGTTGGTAAAAGCTCCTGATTACCTCTTTATGTCTTCTAGTATAGTGATAACCCAAAACTTACATGTGAGAGTAACTTTTATTTTATGATCACACTTTTTTAAAGTCCTACAATGAATACTGTTAGGGCATTTTGTGTGTGTGTGTGTATGTGTGTGTGTGTATCTATTTATTGGGGCTTTTAAAAATATTATGTGTAGGGTTCTGGTAAGATGGTGAAATAGGCAATCAAACTACACAGACCCTCTTCAACAAAGCAAAGGGGAACCAATTAACACAGATACAGAAGATAATCCTGAAGTCCTGAGCTTTGAAAGGAAGGATACAGAAGTGGACAAAACTCCAACTAGTAGCAGAACCTGCATGAAAACACTGAAAAAGGAAACATATGGAGCTGTGGTCTGTCAGTGACCTGGACAGCATGGACAGCTTGGATATTGCCAAGTGGTGTTAGAACCTTAGAATTAACCTAAAAATCGGCCCTGCTAAACAGGGATTGCATGGAGGACTGTACTGGTGACTGATGAATAAAAAGGGAAGTAGCAAAGAGGGAGATGGGTGGAGCTATAGACTTTTGGCTACCCAGGGGGCACAGCCATTTTGAATGCTTACAAGTGGTTTGACCATTTTGGATATTAAAAGTGACAGCGTTCTCTCAGATTTCAGGAACGTAAGAATAGGCTCCATGTGCCAGGAACTACAAGGACATTCCAGACACTAATGACTGGAAAGGTGCAATATTCCCCTTGTTACTCTTATACCCTACAAGAGGAGGTCACCATTTTGGTGAACGGAGATGTGGCCATCCCTCACTCCCACTCACCTTCTGGGCCAGCAGGAATTCCATCCTATTGTGTGTGCTCCGACAGAGCCTGGGTGCCCTGCCCTGCCTAGATTTTTTTTTCTTTCCTTTTTTTTTTCTCTTTTAAAATTATTATTATTATTATTAATACTTTTGTCCTTTTTATTATTATTCTTAATCTTCTCCTACCAAGTCCTAGTTTTCAGCATTATTTTTTTCTTTTCCCTGTGCCTGGTTGAAATAGGTGCCCCCCAATTTAAGGTTTTTTTTTTTTTTCCTTTTAAACCCCCCCTTTTTTTTTTCTCGTGA